GTCATCATCGAACAGACGTGTCCGGTCGCAATTCTGCTGCTCTAGAACCTCTCTGGACATGATCGGACGCCGCACTTTGTGAGTCCGATCATCCAGTGCCGCTGCGTCCGGTCACGCTAAAAACATTGCCGTGACGAAGAACAGTGTCATCGGTGCGTCCGGTCATTGCTTCGCTCAACGTCCAGTCACAGCTGCTAACGCCTACTGTTGCCGAGCAACTGATCGCCCACGTCCAGTCCTCATAGGGCCGTGTCCAGTCACCTCTGCCGAGCTCATTTCTTGGCGATCTTGCGTCCAGCTTGGTTCCCATCTTCGTGCTTGCAGTTTGCTTGATATATTGGGTCTTCTCTTGTGCTTCTAGGGTCTTGCTTATGGTGTTGATCGTGGGATCATCATGTCGCCTTCGTACAAGTCACGTCTTGCACCCTATTGAACTACAAAACAATTACTTGCAAATTCATTAGTCCAATTTGGTTGTGTTGGTCATCAAACACCAAAATCCAAAGTAAATGGACTTAGGGTCCATTTTCCTTACACTAAGGCTGTTGTTAATGTTGTGTGGAGGATTGAGTTCAGAAGACAGCTTAACGAGAGGTTGGCTGGAGAATGATCATAGCTCAAGGATTTGTTGGTGACTATTGAGTTAACTGAAGGCCATGATGAGGTGTTTTGGCTCTTAGAAAAGTCCAAGAAATATTCAACAAGTTCCCTATATGGACTATTGACTTCTGGGGGGTCATTGATCGCCAAATGATGATAATTTGGGAATGCCCTATCCCTTTGAAGGTTAAAATCTTCTTGTGGATGGCCACACGTGATAGGATTCAATGTGGTGTCCAGTTAAAGAAGAAAAAATGGTCAGGTCTAGAGGAATTCTTTGTGTGTGGCCGTCTTGAAACTTCTGATCATATGCTTTTTCAATGCCCCTTAGCAGTGTTCCTCTGGTCCTTCATGCGGGACTGCTTGGGGTGGTTGTCATCCCCCAACAGTTGCTATTCCTTGTTCTCTGAGATTGTGGAGAAATGTAGAGGTAAGAAGCAAGTGGTGACTATGGTCTTATGTACAGGTGCTCTATGGTCTATTTGGAAGACTCGCAATGACGTTGTGTTCAACAAGAAGACACTTTCTTCTCCGATGGCGCTCAGTTACAAGATGATCTCGCTGGTTAAGACGTGGAGCCCGCTGTTGAAGCCTAAACTGAAGTTGGTTGCTGAGGAGATGATTCAGTTGTTAGCTGCAAATGCGTCTGCTATGTAATGCTGTTGGCCATCAGTTCTGTTTTTTGATGTATCTGTCGAGTTCGGTCTCTTTTATGTAGAGGTGTAGAGATAATCTGGTACGTTTTGGAACTGGCTAGCGTTTTGCGTCTGGGACGTGTCTGTAAAGCTGGTATCCCCAGCGTTAGATCTTGGGCTCGTTACGCTTTCAATAAAGCCGGGCAATGCCTTTGATCTAAAAATGTGCGCCCCTCGCTCGTAGTGGCCGCAGCGCAGACATATATGCATCCTAGCTGGCGGTTTGGTTGTGCATTCGCGAGCATGGCCACCGCATTTTTTTTCGGTTACCTCTAAAATATTATTTTAGAGGATTTTATTTACTTTTGGCGCAGCTGTCATCCGAACAATTTACTGTGTTTATAATACTAACCAGCAAACATATATGTATGTTGCAACAAGATATATAACTTTTTGCATGATTAGATAAATATATTTGTGGCTCAAAAAATTATTAAAAATCATACCGTACTGTCGCTAGCACGGGGTTCTAACTGCTTGGGTTATGAGACCAGATCATATACGAGACATAGAGGAAGGACATAGCTTTTGTTTGGGACTGCTCTAATCTAGTTGTTGTATTGTATCTCTGTTCTCAGTTTCACTTATCAAATAGGTCAGCTCCATAAACTTGGCTCTAGAAAAGAAAAGATGAAGTTGGGGCAAACTTCATGTTTTTTTATGCAGCTTCTCAAAGGATATCGTAGAAGCTGAAGTTTCCAATATGGAAAAATTACCCATTACTACCACTAATTACACATATACAACTCTCTTCATGTTTCTTGGTAACATTAGGAGGGTGTAGCCCTAACTTTCGGTGCTTGATGAGGTAGGTCGCTTGTCATTGTTGTATGCAGGGTGTAGCCGCAGTCTTTAAATAGTGGTTGTATGTTTATGGTTTTTAGGCTTGGTTTCCCTTATAAAATGGGTCAATTCTCTTCTTATTAATATATGTCGGAACAATATGTTCTCGGATCTTTCAAAAAACATTAGCACTCAAGCCTCGACCTGTGATGCGCGCTGCCACCCCAACTCAAAGAACCCTATTGCTGCCGCCACTAATTCTGACCACCACAGGCACTATACTCCGGCGAGATGATATATGGAATAGATAGATCTAATGGAGCTCTACCGGATGAAGCTAACTTTGATAAGGAACATCCTTGAGGGTGGCCCGATCTTCACGACAGTAAGTCGACGAACCAAAGATAACTTGCCGTGAACAGCGGGATAACTAGCTTTATACCTGATAAAGGTTGGATGCGACCAAGCGACGGGGAGAGAGGCACCAAAACCATGAAGACTTCGACTCGATCTCTGAACGACTGTAGAACCACAATCCAGAACTAATCCACACAAAACGGTGCAACCGTACTAGAAACCATAGAGCACGAACTAGGGGAACCCAGAGGGATCTCTTCACTAGTCCAAGAAGAACAATGAAGAAGTTTGAGTAAGGCACTTGGCAGCTCGGCTGTAATATCATGTAGTTTATCAAATCATCAAAAGGTCTCTAATAGCTTAGAGGCAGGGGATATTTATACTAGGAACAACCCTCCTAGTTAGGTGTGAAAACGAAATAGAGTTTATGAAGATAGGCTATGTCAAAGGTCACCACGAGATGGATTCATGAAGTGGTCTCGTGTGACTGTTAGCCTCCAGAGCAGTCTCCACTAATCTAACCATAACTCCTTATTGGGAAGTCCAAATGACGAACGGTTTGTTGGTTGTGAAACTAGACTCGAAGAGCTTTACACCCATGTACAGCATACACCACGAAACTTTGTAGATTGGTATAGTTTTGCACAAGAAGTTGTACTAACATTCTGCTCTGGGAAGACTATTGACCTTCTAAGCAGTCTTCACTAATATACTCATATCTCAACATTGGGAAGTCCAAAGTACTTGGAACTTACGCCATTGGAAACTAGACTTCATAAGCTTTCCAAAATGTCCTCATGGGCCTCCAAAGCTTCATGGAATCGAGAGTTATGAATGTTTCTTTCAGCTGGTCTGGTCAGCCATCCGCGTAACTTTTTCCTGGGTCCGGTCGTCCGTCCGTGTTACTTTTCTGGCGAAGCGGTTTTGGTAGCACCATGTCTTGACCCTTTGGCCATGTGCCTATCACGTCTTCATGTGTAAACCTAAGCAACACCAAGATAGAACATTTAGGTAGTATAACATTCTTAGAAGTGTCAAAATTACAATCAGTTAGGAATGAATTCACCTGCTCTTGTAGTTTCTTGGCACGATTTCGTGTAGGTGGCCCATGAATATAATCACTTGTGCGAGATAGTGAGCTTTCTTCATGTTTCAACACATGTTGAGCTAGGATGTGCTCATCATCCTCCGCCTCTTGAAAAGGAGTCCTCCTCGACTCTAACTCTTGTGGTCCAAAGAACTGTGCCAGGCGTTCAACTTGTAGTGTTGTGATAACATCACGATCTTCTTCTTCCATCACAGCAAGGTGTTTGAATCTATAATCATATAAACCAAGTAGTAGCCTTGTAGGTAGAAACCTAAATGATCTGAAATTAAGTATAGCTTTCACCTTGCATTGATGCTTAGAACTGTTGGTGAGTGTTGATGTCCTTGGCATGATCTCATCATCCTCCCTCCCTTTAAGAAAAGTCGTCCATGACTTTTGTTTGCCTAAAAACAGTCTAAACAAAACAGAGGGTGGATGCACATGGCAATTCTAATAATCTTTTATTTTGATTTGTTTATTTGTTCCTTTATGATTCATATTCTCATTATTTCCTCTTCCAAGTAAGAAACATTCTCTCAACTTTGGTGAATCTGCAAATAGCATAGAAGATGGGAGTACAAAAATTTCTTTCAAACCAATCATTTGATTCATGTTATCGTGTTTTATTTTCACAAGATCAAATGTATCAAAAGGCATGAATGAGATAGTTATATTGCACTATTCAGAGATGTACCTGTCAAACTCAGTGGTTCCAAATGAGGATGGAAAAGTTTTGGGTGAATTAATGGAGCATGTTTTTAGAAGATTTCTTTCTTTCAATAGAACATGTGAACAACATTTTTGGTTCTGAATAGAAATCACTAAACAATCTTTTTATCTCAAATTCAGAAAAATATGGCTCACAAAAATTGTAACAAAGTCTTTTTAACTTCAAATCAGCAAGCTTGTGACATGTTATACAAATAGCACAAATATAGAATTTACTTGCAGCTTGATGTCCAATCAAATTGAATGTAAACTTACAACTATAGGTAGTATTCAAATATTTCATGGATGATAGTTGAAAAACATTCTCAAGTATATTATTGATCTCAACACATTTATCAAATATGACATAGCCCACACATGAAGGATGAGATATTTTTGCAAAGAATTCGTCATGAGTGTTCATTTGCACATTATCAAATTTATTTACACACAAAGTATCATATATATGAGTGCAAAGTATCATGTATATGAACCATATCAAAGCAGAAAAGATCATGTATGATTGAACATTGTTTATCAACTTGCAAAATTTCAGCACATGTATGAACTTGTGAATCTAACAAATCAACATGAAAATTTTGTGTTGGGTCAATTCTATTTGAACCATGTGTTTCATCATAATTGCTCACCATTTTATTTTTCAAACTTAGATCTGAATTATTTTTATTGCCTTTTAGACTTTATGGTTGTGCTAGTATCATGGATGACGCTTCTGAAATCTTACCACTTTCCTCGTCATGGTTCATGTTTTAGGTAGCACACAATTGGTTCGGATGAATGGCAACCTTCTCACTTCTCTCAACAAGTATGGAGTCATCATGAGCAGCCATCTCTTCCTTATTCTCATTACAAACCTGCACATTTGGAAAGACAACACTAGAAGTAGAAATGAGAGTGTTAGTTTCAAAAATATCCTCACATGACTTGCATTCTAACTCTCTATTTTTCTTTGTTGTATCCCTCACACTCGCATTGTTGATACTCTCAACGTCACAGTGGGTGGAATCACACAACTCACTTTTGTTTTCACTCTCTCTCAATTGGGCTATGTGGCTCTCGTTCTCACATGGGTTTTGATGCACAGTCACTTCAACATCTTGTGAAGCAACATATGCATACGTATCGCTGTCCATGGCCATCACTTGATCTTCCTCATCGAATATTAGGGGCTGGTCATAATCCACCACATGCGTCACACAATGAACAAGACTAGAAGAAGGTATTATCATGTTAGTAGTAAATAATTCCTCACATGATTCATCTTCTTTTTCGCTCAATTTTTGTGTATCTCTCTCACACATAATTTTGTGGCTCTCCTCCTCACATATGGTGGAATCTCTCATCTTTTTATTTCAAACTCCCACACTCAATTTTGGTTGGTAGCACTCTTTCTCACATATGGTGGAATCTCTCATCTTTTCATTTTGAACTCTCACACTCAATTTTGGTTGGTGGCACTCTTTCTCACATGGGTTTTGCTGTCCATAGGACCTTGCACATGCCACTTGCTGAATTTTTCTTTTAGTGGACGTACAATAATCTTCATCTTCAATGTGCACACGGGGGCAAAAACTATGCCCACGGGCGCCTCCCCCATGTTGTCCACTATGGCCAAGGAGACCACCATGAGAGTTGGTTGAGCTATGTTGTTTTGAAGCCCGACCACCCACTGTAGGAAGATGTTCATTGAACATCATGGCGTGCAATAGTGAGTTTTCGAATTGACGTAACTCAGCTCATGATATCAATGGTTCTTCTTTTCCATGTTGACCACCACGAACACTCGAATGAGATCCTGTCATATTAACACTTATGCAAGAAAAGTGGAATAGGTAAATTTGTGGAATCACACAACCTCACCTCTTACTTACCAATGCACTTGCTTGTTCTCAAGGACAGTGAGTGTGCTAGTGTAGCACTTCAACGGAAGTGATTGAGAGGTCACAAGGATTACGAGTCGAACATCCTAGTTTCAAATTTTGGTGGAGCTATAAGTGGCTAATCAAGGGAGGCTACTGTACTGCAACCCAAGTGGTTTGATGTGTTCAAAAGATATGAAGTTGCTGCTATGGAGATTACCACCAAATTGAATATGTAAACTGAAATTTGCAATTATACAACCCGCAACACAACCCTTACTTTCAATTCTTTTCACTTCTGTTTTTTTGAATCTTTCTTTCTTCTTTCTTCTCTCTTTTTTCAGAGATTTTTATACTAACAGGGGTGCGGATAACAAATGAAACACAATGCAATATATACGAAGATGGTGACTAGCAACTTGATGAAAAAACAACACAAAGGTAGTAGTACCGCCAAAAGGCTATATGATTTTTTTGTGGCTTTTTCAGTGGACCTTAGGAGATGAACAAAAACAGTATCAAATGGTGGATAAATCAAAGATAAATATGTGGATGATGGTGAGACCTACCGTGACAATGAAAGCTTTGATACCAGTTGATAAGGAACGTCCTTGAGGGTAGCCTGATCTTCACGACAGTAGGTCGACGAACCGAAGATAACTTGCTGCGAACAACGGGATAACTAGCTTTATACCTAACAAAGGTTGGATGTGATCAAGCGACGGGGAGAGAGGCACCGAAACCGCGAAGACTTTGACTCGATCTTCGAACGACCGCAGAACCATAATCCAAAACTAATCCACAAAAAATGGTGTAGCCATACTGAAAAACATAGAGCACGAACTAGGGAAACCCAGAGGGATCTCTTCACTGGTTCAAGAAGAATAAGAAAGAACAAAGGTTTGAGTAAGGCACTCGGCTGCTCGGCTGCAATATCATGTAGTATATCAAATCATCAAAAGTCCATAATAGCTTAGAGGCAGGGTATATTTATACTAGGAACAACCCTCCTAGTTAGGTGTGAAAACGAAATAGAGTTTCTAAAGATAAGCTATGTGAAAGGTCACCACGAGATGGATTCCCGAAGTGGTCTCGCGCGACTGTTGGCCTTCAGAGCAGTCTCCACTAATCTGGCCATAACTCCTTATTGGGAAGTCCAAATGACGAATGGTTTATTGGATGTGAAACTAGACTCGAAGAGTTTTCCAGCCATGTGCAGTATGCATCATGAAACTTTGTAGATTGGTACAGTTTTGCACGGGAAGTTGTACCAATATTTTGCTCTGGGAAGACTGTTGACCTTCTAAGCAGTCTTCACTAATATACTCATATCTCAACATTGGGAAGTCCAAAGTACTTGGAACTTATGCCATTGGAAACTAGACTTGATAAGATTTCCAAAATGTCCTCATGGGCCTCCAAAACTTTACGGAATCGAGAGTTATGAATGTTTCTTTCAGCTGGTCCGGTCGGCCATCCGCATCACTTTTTCCTGGCTCCGGTCGTCCGTCCGTGTTACTTTTCCGACGAAGCTGTTTTGGTAGCACCGTGTCTTGATCCTTTGGCCATGTGCCTTCCATGTCTTCATGTGTAAACCTAAGCAATATTAAAATAGAACATTTAGGTAGTATAACATTCTTAGAAGTGTCAAAATTACAATCAGTTAGGAATGAATTCACCTGCTCTTATAGTTTCTTGGCACGACTTCGTGTAGGTGGCCCATGAATATAATCACTTGTGCTAGATAATGAGCTTTCTTCATGTTTCAACACATGTTGAGCTGGGATGTCCTCATCAGACTTTGACCCCCAAAATCTGCTCCCTTTTGTCTATCAACAAAGCTCAAATCGCCGCCTTGGTGTGTGGAGGAAGTTCATCGCCTTTGCCAAGGTTGGGGCTCCCCCTGTAGGACCGTCTCAAAAATTTCATGGCCCTTGGGCACGGAAGCGGTGAGGGCCTAGCAATCTAATTTTTTAGTGCCTGTTTGATATTTCTACGGTTCCGGCTCTGGCTTCGGCATCAGCTTCCTCAGGGGAATTAGAGGAGCCATACCAAACATTTTAGGAGGAGAAGTTGTTTTCTGATGAACAGTAAAGGAGTCGAAGCTATTTTTAGGATTAGAGAAGGAGCTAACAAGAAACCATGCGAAACAGGCCCTTAATATGACGATTAAATAGAGTACATAGTACTGCTAAATAACCGTTAAATTGCAGCATATGTTGAAGCGAGTGGAAATAGCCAAATATCGGAATAGGAAGCGACGGTAAGCTAATAGCCTTTAAATTTCCGTTTCAATAGACCAAATACATATACTAAATACTATGTATATACATATACTTATGGGCCCTTTCATGGCATGGGTCCCCGGTTGTCGTAATTATTGTCCACCCTCCAAAGATGGCCCGACCTGGCTGAGTCGGTCGCCCTACATAGCCACGCTCTCTGTGCCCTGGCTAGGCCCCCGCCGACCAGCAGCTAAGCACCCATAGTGCCATCCAGGCTTCCCAGGCCTTAGCCGGCCACCCCACAGATGCCCCAGGCCCGTGACAGCCAGGCCACGGGCAAGCCCAGGTCCAAGGCGGCCTGGGGAAGGCGCAGGCCGCGCCACTGCAGCTGTTCTGAAGAACCTACGTGCTTATTACTCGTTGCTGCATGATTTTTCTGACTCTCTGAACCGATTACTAGTAGCAGACTTGTATGCAGACGGTACGTGTACGTCGGTACCTCTGTAGCAAACACTGGCATCCACAGTGCCGTGAAATCGGTTAATTGAAATATGGCCTCTTGCTACAAACTTAATTTCTATCCCCTTTTACTGACCGTAAAAATAAAATCCATTTACATTCCTTGAATGACTATATATCATCAGCAGACTGCTGATCAATTAGCACGTGTTGCCAATCCAAGTGCTGTATCAACTGGTCCGGGGCTGTCTTATGAGGATGATGAGTTAGTGCGCTTGGTTCTCTATTTTACAGTTTGTTCGAATACATATGGTCACTCTAGTTGGTGTGGCTTAATGCTTAATTCACTTAATTTGATTGGCCGAGTACATATGTTTACTCGACTTTACTGGCTAAATACATATGCTACTCAACTTGGTTAACTGTATTCAGCCACAAAGCGCAGGTTGACAGGCCTATGTATGGATATATATACGGGCATATGAATGGATCTTGGTCAAGGTTGAGAAGACTAAAAAATACCCGCTAATCGCAGAAGCTAACTTCATCTTCAAGGACTAGTCGTGTGCCCTGTGCCCACCTTAATTAGTGGATCTGTGGGGACTGAATGACTGATAGTAGTATAGGAAGACTATAAGAGGAGAAGATATGATATGATTGGCTGGCCACCATAACGAACAAAAGCCGGCATGGGCGTATTTATCTGGCCCAGCAGTAAGACAGAGATCAATGTGTTGGTCACATATGTGTGGTACTGGAATATAGCTATAGAGACTTTAGAGCGAGCACGCATTCTCCTAGTGAGCCGTCGCACTTCACATATGCTGTGGCATGATAGCTCCATGTGTTGGCCTTGGTGGTGTTGTGGAAGAAGTGCACATGAAGTCATCTCCTGTCTTTGTCAACTGGCCCCTCTGGCCCTTCTCTCTCTCGACCACCTCGTTTTCTTGTAGTAGTGCCATGCTTAACTGTCGGCATCATTTAGCCACCACTCTGGCCATGCCACTTTGTCATGTAGCCATAATGCCATATATATACTATATAAACGGCAGCTAGCTAGCTCAGTGTATCCATTCCTCTCGAGCAGCTTGTTGGTTTGCTTCGCAGAGGCAGCATAGGCATGCTCATTTCACAGGGGATGCGTACTCGACGCGTGCCTGCCATGGGCTGCGCGGGTGTGCTTTTCTTGGCGTTCATTATGTTGGTGGCGGTGCCCATGCCCGCAGGTGGAGCCTTGCCCGAAGCAGCAGGGCCCGTGGCTCAGGTGCAGAGCGTAGATGCGGCAAACCACAAAGGCAGCTACAATGCCAGCAGTGTCACCGGCCGGAAGGATGGAGGCGGTGGCGGTGGAGGAGGAGGGGGCAGCAGCGGGGGCACCTCGTGGAGCTATGGGTGGGGATGGGGCTGGGGCACTGATGGCGGCGGCGGCGGTGGAGGTGGCGGTGGCGGAGGAGGGGGAGGTGGTGGTGGTAGTGGTAGTCGCGGCGGCGGCGGTGGTGGAGGAGGTGGCGGCGGTGGGACAAGGGCAGAGCAGCACGGACACGACGGCCGTGGGACGACGGCATCGCGCGGCGGAAGGATGGCGCGTCGGCACCGGCCGAGCTACAGCTCGAGCCTGTACCGCGTTGGGGAGTACGCGCGGTGCACGGCGCCCGCGCGGTGCAGTGGCATGCGGCTGCTGTGCCCGATGCACTGCGACGGACCCTGCTTCTACGACTGCGACGCCAACTGCAAGGCGCACTGCCGCTTCTAGCCAGACACACCAGCGGCATGTCAGTCAACTCGGATCAGCCGATCAGGCCAACCCAAACGCAGCTCTGCTCCGGCCGGCATCTAGTCGCGCTCTGCTCCGGCCGGCGCCACAAACATTGCCGCCGCTTTCTTTGTCATTGCTCGGCTTTGCTGCTTTCTTGGTGAGATGCCGTTTTGAGCTTTTTTTTTTTAATTGCCTTCGTGATTTCTTGTCTGATTGCTACCACTACCAGCTGCCACAGTCTCAGGCCTTCTTCCAACTAAGTGATGATTTTCTACCTAGCAGCGTGACCATCTTTGAG